TTGTTGCTGGAAGAGGTTTGATGGAGTTGTGTGCATGTGCATGTGGCGGACCAGTTTAGTACCATCATGACTTTTCAACACGTGGCTTCTTTTCTTTTCTTTTTTCACATCACCCCATGTGGATCCGTGGAATCGATTCCGAATCGATTCCAGGGCTCACGACATGGAAATCGAACGACTTGAATGCATGCGAATGGATTTATGAATCAATCCAAGTGTGTAATCGAAAGCTCTCAGCCGGGCCATCCTCCACTCGCTCTGGCGTTTTTCGGCCGTAAGTCGCAGGATCTGCACTCTGGAACCTGCTGCCAGATGATGTTGGGACCATAGCAAGACAGAACAAGTTTAGCATAAGTTGCCTACCATATTGTTGGTAAGATTAGCCCGCCCCTAGCTCTCCTCAACCACCCTGTCACCCCTTGTCAGATACTTTCGTCATTTTCTAATTCCTGTCCTCTCTTTTCTAAATGCGGCTTACTGTAAAGCGGCTAAATTTAGCGTTTTGCAAAACTGGACCAGTTAGCGGCGATTAATTTTAGCGATTTTTACCTTCCACCGAAAACCTTAAAGAATTTTATTTTACGAAGCCTCGGAGTGCTGCTGCAGCTGGGACGCAGAGTACATGAAGAATGAGAGAAGAAATCAAAGAATGGAAGAAGAAAAAAGAATCAAGGAATCAAAGAGAACCATAAGGTAAGTACTAGTGCTGGTCTATGTACATGACTGAACACTGTTATTGCTGTTGCAGAGATATTACTGCTCATTACTAGAACTACCGCTAGGAATACAGTCCAGAATTCCAGCCTTCCGGAAGCCCAGCTTCACGCACGCTGCTGCATCCGCTAATTCGGACATGGCGGTGATGAGCCACCTGGCATGCCGTGGCTTGACTGTGGACGCTTTCAGATCGACCTTGACTTTGTCAAGGGACACGCCATCCTTCAGTGCTGCCTCAACCTCGGCCGCATACCAGTCGGCAAAGAGTGCCTTCATCTTGCCCTTGAACTGGTCGTTGAAGGTGAGGTCCAGTGGCTGAAGCTCACCAGTACAGCCAGCCGGAATGAACACCTGGTGAATGTTGTGCTCCTTCAGCTTGTCCAGGACTGAAGTGCAGCGGTGGGAGGCAAATACATCAAAAATCGCCAAGGCAGGTTGCGATGCTGGTAGCTTCAGCTTCTGTCGCTGCTGTGCAGCATATGGAACCACGACGTTATCCACAAACTGCAGCATGGTTTCCTCTGTGCTCCAGTGAGAGGGGGAGTGGGTGATATTCCAGTCATCCGGAAAGTTCACCTTGGGATGACACGCCGGAGTTTTCCCAGCGTAGATGACTTGCGGAGGAAGCAACACGCCAGCAGCAGATACGCAGACGAGGATGGTGATCTCCCTCTTGTCGTCCTTGCCGACAACACTGACTTGCTTACTGCCCTGCTCAGCCAATGTCCAGGAGTTGACAGGAACCAGCTTGGTCCCTGTCTGGTCCCAGTTGATGATCGGTTCTGCTGGAATGGTGTGCTCCTGTACAACAGTCTTGATCCGCTGATGGAAATTCGATTTCTGCTGGTCGAAGTCTTCAGGGAGCTTCCTAGCAGCTTTGGTGGCCTTCCGTTTTACGAAGTGGTGACGCCTTCGGAACGAGTCAGCCCAGTCCTTGGTGATGTTGACATGTCCACCATTCTCTCTCAGAAGACTTGGCTTCTTGTGCGCAACGATTCCGCTCGCAGCTGCTACAACAATGCTCGTGCTGACACAACCACCAGCGCTACGAAGTGCGCGGATATAGTCCGCCACTTCCGCGTCCAGGTTGCCCAATAAAATCGGACGTCCTTCATTTCCGTGAGGAAGAGCAGTCACCTGGTTCGGGTCCTTGACATCTTTTATTGTCGCCAAGTACAACTTCTTACAATTACGAATTGTGCTCTCGTTGATTTTGTGGCCAGTCTCGCTCGAGAACTTGTCGACCGCCGACTTGTTACCGAACTCCGCAGCATGCCTGCCCATCTTTGCTCTCAGCTCGTCGGAATAACGATGGTACTTGGAGCGTTTCCGACTTCCAGGAGCTTTGGCCAGTTCCTCCATCACAGATGCATTTGCCGCCGCAGCTGCAGTTTCGCTATCGGCAACAGGGAGAAAGGAAGGCGTGTTCGAAGAGGGATCATCGGAAGACTTTCTCTTCGAACTGCTGAGCCACTGGGCGATACTCATGGCGATAAAATTCAAAAGATTTCTTCGAGCAGTACTAAAATCTACGGAACAGCAATCTGGCCAAACATTCCAACAACACTCTCCACAACACTGAGACATTCTCCAGTCGATCGTTTTATTCTCTTCTGGTTCAAGTCGCCGTTCTCCAACGACAACTAGCAAGTGTTGTTACGTTCCAAACAGCTGCGCGCTTTACTTTAGTTTGGAATCTTTAGATGTAGCCGTGCAACCATCGATCAGCGCTAGCTGTGAATGTACAGTCAGTCCATGCAGTGAGTGATACACGCGCGCGTACATGTACCATGTACGTAAGTACAGATCTGTTGCAAAAAGATCGATCATCGCGTACTGCAGTGTACTGTAGTACATGCACAAAATTTCATTTTCGCGTGTCAAACTTTCGCGATTCGACCCTGCTCGCGAAAGTCGCGAAAGTTAATCGCTCGCGAAAGTTTGTCGTTTTACAGTATCCATTCGCCTTTATAACATTGCGTCTAGTTCCCGCTTATTGTGTGAATTAAAATAAACCAACCAACCCAGCAACATAGCAGATCGACGGATTTGATCGAGTTGATCGACAATCAAGATCAGAATCAAAATCTGGACGATGAAGGCTGATCAGCAACACGATGTTTGCGTACATTTACCCGAGTTGCCGGAGTTCGCAGCATGTAGCAAGGTGTGGGTTTTCCTCAGGTTCGGTGAGGAGCGAGCGTACGTCTGCTTGTTGTAATTTTCTTGTCGAGCAACTATTTGTCTCCAAAAGGTCGACACTCTAATCAGTGACAATGCAGAGCTTGTTGACCGCGCAACGTTTGGTCTCAGCGCGACTCCATTGACCTGGCAAGGAGGATATTTTGAAATCAGCTCGTAATGAAAATTCGATTTCTAGGACTCGGATGACTATGCTCAAAACCCCAATAATGACCATTGTGTTGAGATCATCACGTTATCTGCTTGCAGGAATATAGATCAGGTGGGAATAGAGACATTATGTCGATAGGAATCAACTCTATTCTCTTTGTCGAGCTATGTCGCTCCGGCACCAGATGTCATCCATGCGTGAAACACAAAATTACTGTTGGCATCCTAAAAAATGCACGGAACACACGACCAACTTACCAGATACACGAAATAGCCAAGGATGCATTTCCGTACCCAACAAGTCGATCTCTCCAGGGTGCACCTAAAAGGCAAGTGCTCGAACCTGTCATACCTGTCATACTGGCCAACCCTCCCGGTTTTCCTGGGAAAATCCCGGGAAATCAACACTACTCCCGGGGTCCTGGGGATTTGAAGGAAAATACCGGAAAAGTCACAGTTTCGTCTGATACAGGATTTTCCTGAAAACTCCATGGATTTGCTTTGAATGTCCCCGTTGTTTTCAAAAAATATGTACGGTGCGCACTTGCACTTCGAACTGTAAACGGCACTTTCAAGACCTGACCACAAGATCTGCACTGACAGGCGCTATAGGCGGGCGCCGAAGTGCCGACTGATCGAACTGCAGTGCAGGGTTGAACTGTGCCGTACGCAGATCTGCAGAGTTGAACTTTTTTTGGCGGGAAAAGCCCTTTTCACTTGTTTTTGTGCCATCCAGGGATTTTGCGAAAAATCCAGGGATTCTGCATGTATTGTCAAGGGATTGAGATTTTGGTGGTTGGTTAGTATGCTACGTGGTCGAAATTTCAAATGATATTCCTGGAAAACAGGTTGCAGCTAGATCCCAAATCATGAAGTGCAGGGCATCGTACCTCTTCATGGTTTAACTCAAGCAGCATTCCTTCATACATCACAGTAGCAGCATAGCAAATATCATGTTGCTGATCAACCTGATCATGTAGATTTTGATTCTGATCTTGATTGTCGATCAAATCGATCAAATCCGTCGATCTGCTATGTCACGCGGTGGTCGGCACACGGCCAGTTTCAGGACGCAAAAATATCGTGCTTCGATCGCACAAATCGAGATCTGTTCAATATGTTTGCACTTCTGCAGAGCTTTGCTGCTAGTGAAATTCGAGTTGTTCAGGGAAGGAAATGGTTGTTGTTTGGAGTGACAAGGGTTGTCATTTCGAATTTCTTGTCAGACTCGGTAAAGGTGACCACGCTGCAGTGTTTGGCGTGCTGTCTGGAGCAGTGCCTGGTGTTTGAGCTTGAGAAGCCTCTTTCTGTCGTCGGGTATATAATTGGCAATGTTGCAATGTGGTGAAGTGAAAATATTTGAATTTGTTTATTTCCAGAAAACCTGGAACACTTTTTACGAGACATGTCCTGGGTGGTAGTGTTGTATAGTCCACTATCCTGCAGTCCATGGTTCAGAAAAATAGATGCCCGCTATGGCCCTTGACATTTGGCTATTCTAGCGATGCAATTTAGTGATATTTGGAGATGATGGCCATTGCTTTCCTGGATGTAGCCAAGGCTCTATGTGGTGGTGATGTGAAGACTGCTCAGGTGAGATAATGTTGGCTGGGTGGTGGTTTGTTCTTAGCTCCATTGCGTACGCTGTACCAGCGCTCGTTTTGGACCCAATATTCAGTCGTATTTTGAGCCCATTTTAGCCAAGGTGTCCGTAAGTTATGCAACGAGCCCTTTTGCATGATTGTTGTAGACCCCAAAGGAAACCTACTTGCAAAATTGGAGTGAAATCAGCGAGATGGCCTGCCCAGCGTTTTTGGTTTTCTCAGATATGCTCTCTTAAAAATGCTACAAGATGAAAACCTTAAATTTCCCTGTCAAAAGATTATTAAGACACAATTTCCAACATTCCTTCATACTCTTTCCTTGTTCAGGCATTTGGGAAATAAGAATCTCGGCTATCTTCCCAGTGGACTGCCTCATGACACACCTCACTTAATTCATCTGTAAGTCTTGCCTGACGAACAAGACTACACACATTCCCAGTATTTCATGATTCAGCCGTTTGCTCTTCCTCTAAGGATCTCTGCGGACCTGGGATAGTGGGTAGGCTGGGGATGCTGTTTAGGATAGCCATCGGAAGTGGCCCTACTATTGTGACTATCGAGTATGCAAGATAAGTTACAAAGGATACTACTGTCGATGATGAGGAGTATGATTGTGATTTGCTTAGTTTATGATGCAGTTTTATCATAAGCAGATCAAGACTTTGCAGTGTGTTGCAAATTCCTGTAGGAGGACAAATAGCTTCTTTCGGCTCATACCCACACATTATTTCATACATCTACTTCGAAATAAATTTATACATCTCTTATACATCTAAGTTGGTAATCGATAGGCACATCAGCAAGATGTGCAACCTCCGCCTAGAAGAAAACCTGCAGATAAACTGAGATAATCGCTGCAGACAAGGCAACGCTACTGCATTGTAGGAGTGAGCTTGTATGTAAATGACTCGCCAACCAATTCCTACTAAAGAACCCCAGTGCAGCCATGACATATTCGCAGGTGTGCAACCACCCCTAAATCGCAATTTTGTATCTCACCCTCTACCTTCGCTCTCCTCCCACTTCCCTAAGCCTCGTGCTGCCCGTTGTACGAGGAGCCAAACCACCCAACCCATTGCAGTGAACACATTGCGTACTTCTGATGGTGTCAATTCTTTTTCGAACCGTGCTGCGTTGTTCTTTAATGCGCTACCCTCTGAACTCCGCAGTTCTTCACACACTCAGCATTACATGCAGAAATTCAACAACTTTTTGAAGGACCCAATGCAGGTCAATCGGTTCCGTAACTTCCTTTTTGGCCGCGTTACCAATGTGTGGCGGACGTTGTATATCCTGGAGTGACCGTTGTACAGTGGATATCGGTTATAAAGTCATCGGACATAGTGATAAACCGGCTATATTGATACAAAATGAAAATATCAAAAGCAAAACCAGAAACAGCCAGTCAAATTATCATTATAACCAATATATCGGATATAGCGATAAATCGGCTATAAGGATACAGAATCACCATTCAAAACATCTCTTTGTGCAGAACAAATATCGTCTATAATGATAGCAACACTCGAGTGTGAGGCATTGACGTCTCGACTTGGAGCCACATGTTTGTTTTCATAGTGTATTCTGGTCTGATGCTTCCTGGATGATGCCTTTGGGCCAAGAAGTTCTTCACTCTAGACTGGGGAAGGTGCAGCAGCATGCATCGTGTATCAGTACGCTACATTAGCGCGATCGAGTACCCACACGTGTATAATGTGTATGTAAGACGAGCGCAGTTGAAAATCGCCTGTAGTGATATACCGGTACCGGTTATAGTGATAAAATGTGAAAAATCAGAAGGGCACGTTATAACCAATATCTACTGTATATCCTTATTGACTTCTTTTTCTTTGCTGCAAGTCACACTCCATGTATGTTCTTCATTATCTTTACCTTAACTGTGTCTTCACATTGGCTATAGCCTCATCGTTTAACTTTTATTCTTCCTTTTGCCTCATCGGCGCTCTTTAAATTTGTTTGTCAACACTGTTGAGTTGTTCGATGTTAAATAAATAAGAAGATGCTGACTGAAGGCGCAGGCAACATCAGTGTGCGTGTTCAACGGGTATGGCGGCGTGGTGTGGCTGTGTGCGACGGGCTCGCAGGACAGTGATTGCCTCAGGGGCCTCTGGGTCTGCCGCGTTGGCCAGTTCGCTTCGTCGTTCGTTCCCCGTCAAGTTACTATGGGACAAGTACAGTCAGCCACAGTATCTTTGTTTTTGTGGCACATGCAATAACTAACCTTTCTGGTGTTAGACTGACTGCTGTTTTTTGCGCTCCCCCCCCCCCCATTTTACACGTGCTTCATGTTCCTGTCCCAGCCATGAGCGTGTGTCGTTATCACCTGACCTTGTTATCACTTTTGTCACTTAGGGTCTGCCACGCCTCTATGCAGAATGAACGCAATTGCGCCAATTTAGCCCTATAAAGATTAGTCAATTCTTATTATTCTGTTATTATTATTATTATTATTATTATTATTTAAATAGGCGTCGAGGCGACAATAGTTTTAGAATTGCGATCAACAGAACGAGCTGAACCGACATTTCACAAAGGCTTTTATTGTTTTCAAAAAACGAGTGGATACGAAGGCAGTGAAGAACGTGGAAGAAAGAAAAAATGTGATATGGAAAAAAATGATGAACAAAATTTTTTTTTGTACTTCGAACTAGTTTTCGCACAACACTCCTCAGGAAGCTACGTTGTACTAATGAAAAACAATCCAGAAAGATACTAATAAAGAGAAATGGAGTGAGAAGAAACAACACCTATGAAAAATGATAATCCTAGCACTAAGGTAATAACAGGAAAAACTGCGAAAGCAATTAACGAACTTGTAAGGACTACTAGTATACTGTGACACAAGATATGACACCATGGCCAACCAGAGCCAAACCGACAGAACAAGCTGCCACTAAAACAATTTCAAACGAATAATGCTGTCCTTCTGGACACACAGATCAGGCTTATGAATACGTTGACAAACAGCTTCTAACACACTCAACTGCAACTTATAACCATGACGAGCACGGCACAAAACAGAAAAAGAAGAATCAGAATACACCTTGCAACAATCAGGACGAGATGCAAGATGCTTATACACTGATGACTTCCTACTAGAAAACACACGCTCGCACCCACTCTTACTCACACAATCATTCTCGCTCTCACACTCACCGGAATCACTGGACTCACTGGCCGAATCCTCCTCAACGACGTCCTGCCTCGGAGCAATCAGGTCCCGTCTCCTCCCATCCCTCGTCTCACGTTCCTGTTGTGTATTACGTTGGCTCGGTACTTCCGTACTGAAATAGGTCATGGTGTAATTAGCAGTTGTTCTTCTGGGTCTCGTTGATATTGAGGTAGGTATTTTTGTCGTCTCTGCCGGTGATGCAGCAAGCGATGCTGATGCAAACGTGTCTGCATGCAACACACGTGGCGTCGCCGAAGCCACATCCACCTCCGCTGGTGGAGGGAGTGACTTGGTCATGGCCACGGGAGCCAATGGTGGACTTGCCGAGTGGGACGCTGGGTCCTGTGTTGGCGGAGGTAGTGGTTGTTTACGGGGTCTTCCCCGCGTGGGACGCTCCAGTTGTGCGCTACGTGGGATAATGTGTAAAGGAGTGTGTTGCTTGATGCGTTCGCTCAGGTGCTGAACAGTCCTACCAACATACCGGCTAGCACAATTCCGGCATTCAAAGTTGTAGATTACATGACTTAAATGATGGGTTGGTAGGACGTCCTTCAACACCGTGAACGAACGCATCGTTGTGTAGACGGGTATGAAGTGTACCGCATAGTAGGTTTGTTTGATGATCGCACGAACTTCACGACTCACATTGTCAGACTTCTTGCCCTTCCATGGTAAGCACAAAAAGACAGGACAACGAGCAGGCCCTATCAATTCATGTTTCGGCGTGGGGGCTGTAGACAACAGTTCTGCCAACATGTCGCCTGGGTATCCGTTTTTGGTGAAAACTGAACGGAGAAATTCGAGCTCACCACTGAGTTTACAAGGTGAACAGATCCGTTTGTCTTTCTGATGTTGGGCTCCTTAATGCAGCTGGGCGGACTTTGTGCTGAGTGACAGAGCTGACGTTTGAGGCTACCCGCATGCTCATAAACCACCCGGACTGGTAGCTTGTGCTTCCGGATAGCTTCCGGATGATGCACCCTGTCCGACTTATATGGCAGCTTCAGAAACGCACAACACGGATTACCTTGGCGGCGACGCTTGGGGTTTTCTTGCTGCTTCTCGGGCATTGATGATGAGGCTCTCTGGATAGTGGTTGAGTTGAAGTTGGTCTTGAATTTTCTGTTCATTTTCTTTACACATGGTGTCATTGGAAGACAGACGTTGTGCTCTTAAGAATTGAGACTTGGCAACGGCAAGTTTGATGTGATGGGGCACAGCAGATGCGTAGTCTATCAGCAATCCACTATTGCATGGCTTTTGGAAGAGCTTGTACGTCATCTGGCCCGACTGTTGTATGGCAATCGTCACGTCCATGTAATCAATCCAGCCTTTGCTACTGCTGAGCTCGTAGGTGAACTTGAGTCGGTCGTGTCCTGCATTGAAGTGCTGTATTAGCTCCAAGAGGCGTTTCTCACCGTGGGTCCAGATCACATCATCAAAGTACCGTTTGTAAAGCACAGGCAGAACCGGTGACTCAGCCAGAAGGTGCGTTTCCAGAGAGTGCATGAACAATATTGCGAATGGTGGTGCTAGATTATTGCCCATTGCAACTCCCTCTAGCTGGTGGTAAATTTCACCTAAGAACACCAAGTTAGTGTATATAATTGCTCCTTGGCAGACTTCCACTTCATTTTGCATCCTGATGATGGCAATTTGCCAAAACGTTGAGTATGATTCTGTAAAATGAATTGAGTCGTGAATTTGCAGTGCCCAGGGAATGAGCATGTGTGCTCACCAATTCTCTTCGAGTTATGAAGCTGCAGGATGCCTCACCGCTACTTCGTTCATAATATTATTCAACATCATATGCCTCCACTGATGAGCTCAGGAGGAGCGAAACAGCTGTCTGGAGGGCCATTGTCAATATCAATCTATACACCGGAATTGTCCTCGCTGAAGTGATGGTTATGTGAGTGCAGAGTTTGGATTGGCCAAGAGCGCAATGTGGCGGTGTGGTGTATTGGATTCCATAATGGCCGGGTCGTCGCTACTTCTTCTCAACTTAAACGAGAGAGCTTGGAAGCTCAGGGCCCTACGCTATGCTTTTATGCTTTTTTGCTTCCGTTGATTGGCTTCATCACTGTATTGCAAAAACGTTTCAATCAGTTTGAATATGAGTTAAGCAAAAGTATTTGCAGAATTTATTACGGATCGTTTTTTTTCTCTCACTTCATCCACTTTTGGTTTTTTCCTTCTTTTCCTT